TTTGCACACTCTTGTGCATCCCCTTTATTCTTAAAAATGGGGACCAAAATACTCTTCCTCCACTCCTCAGGCATCTTTTTAGTTTTTAAAATAATATTAAAGAGTTTAGTAAGCCAAAAAACTCCCAAATCTCCCAAATATTTTCACACTTCAACTGGGATATCATCAGGTTCTACAGACTTTCCACCATTGGTTTTCTTTAAAGCCTCATCAACTTCTTTTTTACTAATGCGACGGTAAAAATAAAACGTTTTATTATTATTCACGATATTAAGATCACTAAGGTCGATCATATTTTCAGAAACTTCATTAAAAAATTTATCAAAGTAACTCACCCACCTATATTGAATATCTTTTTCTAAGAAAAGTACTTTTTGATTTTCATCTTTAATACACTTTACTTGAGTTACATCTTTACTTTTTTTTTCTCTTTATTTTGCTAGTTTATACATATATTTTTCACCCTCCTCAGTTTCTAATTTATTATAAAGATCATTATAAGCATAATTTTTAGCGTCACAGATTGTTCTTTTAGACTCTCTGCGGGCCGGGTTGGTAGTTTTAGTTCTCTAAGCTTTTACATTTAAACCAATTTTTATAATATTTTTTTTATTTTATCTTTTCTTGCACATTATTATTCCACCACCAACTATTTTTATTTATAAATTTTTTTTTTATTTTCTAAGCACATATTTTACTACTTGTTTAATAGTGTTTGTTACTTTATCCTACATAATATTTGTTTCTTCATGAATATCCCAAACTGTAAAATCTTGAATTTTACTCATAAAAATAATTTTATTTGTCTTTTAAGTTTCTCCATCTAATTCTACGATGCTGAGTCATAGTATTCTTTATTTTACAACTCTTAATCTTAAAATCTAGAACTAATAAACGATGTTGGGTGCTTAAATTTTCACTTAGAATGACCTTATAATCTTTACAATCGCGATGATCTCTTCTTCTCATAAGAAAATAATCAATTTGTGTTTTATTAGATCCACTTTTATAAGTAATAAGATGCTTATCTCTTTTTTTGAATAAAATATTAGTAATAATAAAATCATACGCTAAAGCAAAATCTAAAATAACTCTACTTTCTTCATTAGTTACTCCAAAACCGTAGCCACCATGAGTATTTCTGAAGTCATCCACCACTCTACCGACATGTCCATTTAAATCTCCTTCAATAAAAATTCTTTCTTCAAGAGGTATCATTTTTATTAAGTCTTCTAAGCCATTCCAAAATTTATCTTTAGACCCTGTATCTAAATCTGCTTGAGGAGCATAAACACTTATAATATTAAAAATCTTAGTATCAATGATTAATTATAACCCTTAGTATCTTAAGGGTTATAATTTTATCTCTAACTCTATTAATTTTTACAATATTATCTTTCAAACTCTTATCTATAATTACACCTACATTATTTCTAGTGCGACTCTTACCAGAATACCAAAGTTTAAAACCTAAATTATCAATCTCCTTAGCCTTTTCTCCAACCCACTTAGTTCATACAAGTACATCCCAAACTTAAAAACAAATATCCAGTGTAGAACATTACTAATTAATATAGACACCTCACTAAACCGTGAATAACATGACTACCAAAACTAAGAAAAAAACTATTAAAATAACAATTAATAATATGATAACATTATTTTTAAAATACAGATGGTATATGTCACTAGATAAGCTACTCTCAAGGGAAACTCTCCACGCCCGATCACTCTTGGCAGTGAAATCTTCCAGCCCATCTGCTTAAGTAAAATAGTTACAGTTTTCTGTGATTCTTATTGGACACCTATAAAACTCTCCCGTAGATATGTGATTGTCGTGAAGTAAGAAGAAAACATTGTAGTTCGCAGTAGCAGTGCAATTCTCTAGAGGTACCAGAAATCCTCGAGCTCATCTTTCCTGAAGGCTTAAAAACATATGCTTTTAGATATAACACATTTAAATATTAATAACAAAAGGAATTATTTAAATTTTTATGCAATAGTGAGGTCTCAGAGAAATCAAGTTTTAAACCAACAAATTTTGTCATTACAAAAAGACAACAAAACTTTTAAAAAAAGATTCTTAGTTGTCTTTAACTCATATAATTTTGAGTTCGTATGTGTCACATATGCATATCACCAAAAAAGAGCATCTGGAAGAACCTCGTAAACCTTAGCACTGAACAAGGAGATGAACTTGGTTGCCCTTATTAAGATTTTACATGTGATACTAACCAATAGCGACATATAGGCCGTTCAGAAGAACCCATCAGGTCAAACGTCTCATCATAGACCTCACAAACCCACAAAAAATGCAATATTTAGGGTGCATATATTACCAACGGTTACCTCATCGACCATCCAAGTGGGAGGAAAATACATGCAAAAGGAAAATAAGAACATATTAATTGTAAAATAAACCGATACAATAAATATTTAATGCATAACAAATAGAAATATGCATTAGTTGTATAAAATACTAATACAATAAACAGTGAATGTTTTCAACAACCATTACAATAAACAAAAATAAAAATTAATGTTCCCTATAATCACCCTCCAACTATAGCATCCGTTATTTGCTCTCTCAATTTTGTCATCTCGTTTGTACCTTCCCCGTCTTGAGTGCAGGTCTCAAACACATTATTTTCGGCCTGTGATATTGTCTAAGAAGATATTCATATACCTTAGCAGGGACATGTGAATGATTCTCATACGACCTACAGAAATCAATGTCATTGCGTGAGGCAAAGGTCGCAAAATTTAATCCTCTATATTGAAATTGGTTCTTGGCCTATTTCTCAATTTGACCTTCTTGAGGCAAAGGTTGGAAAATATTATTTTTGTATCCTTATCTCACATTGCATTTGAACGGACCTCTTTGGTCTTAAACATTGTGTATAGTAGCATTAAACAACAAAAATTTTAGCTGCAAAAATATTAACCCCATCTCGAATAAAAAAAGGAATGATCACCTCCACACACACAACATATCGACACCAACTCCATACACCAACACCTCCAAAACACCAGCACATCCACAACACTATTACCACCAATTCCACACACCAACACCTCCTCTCACACCACCTCTTCCACCCACCAACGCATCCACCAACACAAACATAACCATACACAAACCACCAACTCCATCAACCACCACCTCCACGCACCAACCACCATACACCACAACCTCCTCAATCACACAAACAAATCCACCATCACCAACACATCCACAACTACACACCAACCATCACCACCTCACCCACACACAAACACATCCAACAACGCATACACATCCACACCAACCACTCTACACCACCACCTCTACCTCCACATCCACGCACCAAACACCCTATACCACCACCTCTACATCCTTCAACACAAACACATCCACCTCCACATCCTCCACATCAGCACCACAATCCAACATCAACTAGAAGTACGATGATTGATTAAACAAAAAATCATAATCCAATATCAATCGAAAGACACCCATTTATATCTATTTTCACCCTAAATCAAGAATATAAAAGAGAAAACATAAATTCGAAATCCAACATAAATTCGAAATCCAACATCAACTGAAAACCAACACCCATTTCCAAGTCATTGCACGTGGGATTCCCATCCCAAAATCCAACATCAACCGAAAACCAAAGAAGCATAAGATTTTGTCAAAACAAAAAAAAAAAAAAACCACGAAATTCTTGAGCACATAGAACTAGAAGGTAGGCATTACCCAACACGAAGAGGAACCACTGCACAGAGGAACTCACGGTTTCTCGGGTATAAAGACATTAACAAAATCAAAAGCCACACCATAATTTGGGTAAAGATTACTAAGCATGAAGAAGAGCCACCACACAAACGAACCACCACAAAGAGGAAACCCCAATAATCTCGAGCACATACACATTTTCTAAATAAGAAACAAGAACATAGTGATGGTAAAGTTTGCCCAACATGAAGAGGAACCACCGCACAGAGAAATCACAGCTCAGATGAACTTCAATCAAAAAGTACCGCACGAAAAAGAGTCACCGCACACAGATCAAAAGATCCAAACAAAGCTACAGAGTAGAGAGAGGAGAGGGTGAGGAGAACTCACTGCAACAATTAACGTGGAGAAGCGAGAGAGCGAGAGGCACAACACTATTTGTGAGAATCGTGCACGCAAGAGAGAGAGAGAGAGAGAGGGAGTTGGGGCAAATATTGTGAGAAAGGCAGCCCGGTGAGGATCGCGGGAGAGGAGAGGGGCAGCCCCGTTACATGTATACGAAGGAATATGGGCCGCCGAGTCGAACCCGCACCGCGTTTCCTTCGCCTTATTCCTATAAACAGCAGCGTCGAAGAATCGAAACGAGAGAGATTCACATTCCTTAGCCGCGAAGCCCCTTAAACGTTGCTCTAAACGAGTTGTTAGTGTCCAGGAGAATTTTAATGAAATGTGGGTGATGAGTAACTACTAGCATGGCCGTGGATAAAGTTGTAAAACGGTGTTGATTTTCTACTTTTTCTTTGGATGATCAATCACTTCATAAGTATTTACAAATCTAAAACCTAAACTTCAATTTCTACATACGTGTCATTTACTGATATATGAAAAGATGTATTTCACTTTTTAAAAGTTAAAATAGTGGTATTTATAATTTGATATGAAATATTTCGGTAGTATAAATGTAAAAAATAAAATTTAGGTGTTAGATATGTGCTATGTAAATACATAAGAATTGAGTGATATGTATGTAAATGCGCCCCCCAACAAATTTTTTTGGCTGTTCCTGCTGGAGAGTGCTTGATACTTGCGTTCAATTTTTCATCTTACTGTTCTGCATTATTCATGTTTCCATAAGGAAAGGCATCACTTGTAAGAAGAAATTAAAATGATAAAATGTGGTAAAATACTTTGGATGACATTAAACATTCGTCTCTGGTCCCTTAACATTTGTTTTCAGTCCTTTTAAAGGTTATTTAGCTTCTATGCTCTCTAAAAAGCTTTTGTGATGCCTGATAGATTTTATATTATAATATTTCTCCGACGGCCCGACCAATTCCATTACTGATTTCTTCTGCAGGCATTGCTGAAGTTGGAGTTATGATGGTGACCACAATCCTCGTAACCATCATCATGCTTCTTATATGGCAGATAAACATCTTCCTCGTATTTTGCTATCTTATCTTCTATCTGGGCATCGAATTTCTTTTCTTCTCTTCAGTCTTGGCTGGAGTGAGAGATGGAAGCTGGGTTTTGCTTTTATTTTCTGCCGTCTTGTTCATGATTATGTCTATATGGAATTATGGCAGCAAAATGAAATATGAAACGGAAGTTAAGCAGAAATTATCAATGGATTTAATGCTGAAACTTGGTTCCAATCTTGGCACTATTAGAGCCCCTGGTATGGGGTTGGTTTACAATGAATTAGTGAGGGGGATTCCTGCAATATTTGGACACTTTCTTACCACTCTTCCGGCAATTCATTCCATGATCATTTTCGTATCGATTAAGTATGTTCCAGTCCCTGTCGTGCCGCAGAACGAGAGGTTTCTCTTTAGACGTGTCTGCCCGAAGAGTTATCACATGTTCCGTTGCATTGCGAGGTACACAAAACTATTTTTTTTCTTTAGTTCAAATTGGTAGGATTGTTTGGAGAGAATAAGCTTGATTTGGGTATAAATGGAACTTTTTTTTCTTTGATGGATTCCATGATTTGTTTACATGTCTCAATAATTTGTTTTTTTGATCTTGCTCGTGTATGATAGTTAGACTTTCATCTATTAGGAAAGTATTTTAGACTTTTTTGCCTTTGAAATTAAGCGACATTTAATTCAAACAAACATTGACAGAAATTAAAATAGAAAGAAGATAAACGCATAAAGTGATAAAACACTTCAATAATGCTGGTTCAGCCAATTAATGACAATGAGCTGTCACCGCTGGTATATATTATACTATGGATTTGATGGGAATTTACATACAAACCACATAATTCTTTTGTATTTACATTTTTACACCTAAACTCATATTTACGTGCATAACACTAATATTTAATATCACATGAAAAATACAACTAAAACTAACTTTTTAAAGTGAAGTCACCTTTTGATGCATAGAGTTTCATGACACCAAAGTGTGATGAATGTAAATATCATATTTTAGGCGTTAGACTTGTAAATAGTAAATGCATGAGGAATTATAGAATATATATATATATATATATGTTATAAAATGTATTTTTTTACTAAAGCCTGCTTTAACACCCTTCCTGTAGGTATGGCTACAAAGATGTGAGGAAGGAGCACCACCAAATCTTTGAGCAACTCCTCATCGAAAGCCTCGAAAAATTCATTCGCCGAGAAGCCCAGGAACGCTCCTTAGAAAGCGACGGGGACGGCGATGATACTGATTCGGGTTCCGAAGAAGAGACATCATTCTCGAGCACTCTCGTCGCTCCGAACGGCAGCATTTATTCGCTCGGCGTCCCTCTTCTCACTGATTACGGCTGTCTCGAAAGACGGAGCTCGGAAGCAAGTTCTTCATTTTCGCAATCCGTGGATGATGCTGTTACAGATGCAGGAAAGAGTCTGGAGAGCGAGCTGTCCTTCATCCACAAGGCGAAGGAGTCAGGGGTCGTCTATCTTCTCGGCCATGGAGATATCAGAGCAAGAAAGGACTCTTGGTTCATCAAAAAACTGATTATAAACTACTTCTATGCCTTTCTGAGGAAAAATTGCAGAAGAGGGATTGCAACTCTGAGTGTTCCTCATACAAATTTGATGCGAGTAGGAATGACTTATATGGTCTGAAAATTACTTTAAAGTTCTCTTTTTTATTATTATTATTTTAATTTGAGTTACTAACCAGTGTCAGATTTTCATGATACAAACATGCATGGATTGTTCTTAAAAGTGAATTTTCAGAATTGATATTGACAGAAGATTGAGAAGGAGGGGGGTAGGATATCCTTCTGTTGGATAAACTGACTTTCAGTATCATAATGTTTTAGAATGTGATAGCTGTATCTTATCTTGCTTCACACCAAAGCTATTTTACTCTAGTAAAGTGCCAAAATAGTTCATGACTATTTATGTGAGTCAGTTTTTATCATGAAGTTTATAAAAATGTCAAAATAATTTTTAAATTATTTTAAGCTGTAATAGTTCTCCGTCCGGATTATTTCAGCTCCAATTTAAAGAGTGCGGACTATTTTGGCGTTTTGTTGTATTTTATTTTGTAAGGTCTGTGTTATAAGAGTATTGCTTTTAATGTTTGATGATGAGTGAAAAATGCTTAAAAGGTGGTGGAATTCAATAAATTATGATCTCATAATTTTGATAGATTATGCTAATTATGGTTAATAATATACTTAAATAATATTTGGATCCTTAATAATAATGAGCTATTTTCTATTTAGGTTATCAATTTCGGGAAAGTTAAGCTCAAATGATAATACGTGTGATTTAAACTTGCTTTCAAGGTAAAAAATTAAATTCTCAATCACTATGTCGTTTGTAAGTATTCGTTACGTGTGGGCCTCTTCCATGAGATTGTTACCTTCTCTTATCCCGCAAGATTGTTGTTGCTTTAGTTGACTCCGTCGATAAAAGTGAGTTATTGCATGATAGTGAAGTTTAAATTTAGTATGTAAATTCAATAATTTTGTGCTATGTATATAAATCATTGGTTTAATCAATATATTATTGTAATAAATAGAAAATCATTGTAATTTAATGCAAATTTAGTTAGTTTTCTTGCATATATCAAATATATTTTGAAAGGAAATTATTTTCTTAAAATTCACAAAATAATTTTATGATACTTCTCATTAGGGCTGTCAAAATGACTCGTTGTTCGCGAACAACTCGTGTTCGGCTAGTTAAGAAGCTTGTGTTCGGCTCGTGCGCTAAGTTAACGAGCCGAACATGAACAACACGGACAAATATTTGTTTGTTCGTGTTCGGCTCGTTTTGATTCGAAATACTACTAATCAATTATATATATATATATATATA